ATAGGTCAGGTGGATAGCCTACTATGGACGGGTTTTGAGAATTGTAGTTGATAATCCGAGTTGGATTTGCTGGTTACAAAGGTCTGAGATAAATTAACTGATATAGTGGTGGAGGAATCAATAGATATCATGGCCAGGTTTTCATAGATAGGTTTTGGTGGATATTATATTTTTTCTTTTATCATGGACAAGTTGCCATAGATATGTTCCTTTAAAGTGAAAAACATTGGAACTTTCCATATTACTTTTGGGATGTGTATACATATGTGAACAAGTTGCCATAGAATGTTCCAGATTTGTATTGTTGCAGAAAGAATTGCTAAAGTTTGTTCTTTGAAGTTAATGTAAAACATATTGGTAGAACTTTGTCAAACCCCAATATTATGTACATTGTTATTAATAGGCATTATGACTTGCAAATTCATACACAAGTAGTTCATAACAACACAAATGATTGCTTACTAACACCAAGTTAAAGAGATTAATTGCTACACACAATCGAAAGAAACTAAATAGAAGTAGTAATAACTAACGATAATGATGGTGTGATATGAAATCTTAATTTCGGATGCCAAAGAAGATGATCTTCAAAGGAAAAAACAAGCTCTCCATGAAAATTTCAGAAAAAATACAGAAGTATGAAACAATTGGATGTCCAGTCATTTATATCCATCAAATCGCATCCACCGATATTGGTTAGCTTTAATATTGGTATGAATATGTGTTTTCATGTTTATCCACAAGATTATGTCCACAACGTTTCGTCGAGGAAACTGGATCGAAATTGACTTAACGAATTCTCATGATTGAATAATGATTCTAGTCGATAAAACCAAAGCAAGATATGATATCCATTAAAACGCCTCCACGAAAATCTGTCCACTACCAAATTCCAGTGTACCACACTTCGATCCATGGAAACCTTCACGCCAACATCCGACACTTTTAAACATATTGATTTTCAAGTGACCCACTCCCAATGAATTCAATTTCTTATTAATCTATATTGTATCCTATACATTTACAGTTCTCCATGCTTCGATTCGCAACATAAGAAATCAAACAAAACTCCCCTAACGCTCAAATTACATGAAATATGGGCTCTGCAAATGTTTTAGAATCGTTTAATCTATCTTTCATGATCTTTGATTGATTGTAGCAAATTCAGCAAACCCAGTTCTTGATGCCTCGCCATGAATCAACTAACAAAAGAAGAAGAACAAAACTAACAAAATTTGAAATATTCCTATTTGGAAAATACCTAGAATCTTTTTATCGTGAATCCATAATCATAATATCATGGATAACACATAATTTCAAACACCATCCATCTTATTTCATCCATCCCATCTCATCCATCGTTTCCAAAGTTTCTCATCCGTCGCTTCGATCGCATCGTCAACACCACAATTCAGATTAAGGTGGACACCGTGCACCAAAAACATGAACTCCTTTCTGCAGAACTTTCACTGTCCACTCGATTTAGTACACAAACAAACAGAACAGTGGACACCATCACCACCTGTGCCCTTACCTAAAACCACATCGCCATCATAATGAAAAAGATTTCCGATTGGAAAAGGAGAAGGAAACATTATCGTTCTTCCAGCTTTGCCATCAATAACTTCCATCTACAAATTGAATGATTCACTAAACACACTTCTACCACAAAACTCTTCCAATCGACAGTCATGAACTCAATTAATTATGTTTGTGGAATCGACAATGGTAGTGTACACTACGATTCTTAACGTCTCATTGTTGCTTGTAGGTGAAAGAGGAGTGATTTGCCAATTTGCTTTTCATGGTGTTTACAATTAGACGTGGGTGAAAATTGTTCATACATTTTAAAGGGTAAACTTGGATTTTCAAGTGCCAAAAATAAAGAGAATATAAGTTAAAGTCACCTAATAGCAAAAAGTATCTTTAAGTGTAAATAAAAACTTAAAAGTATTTTTAACTGTAAATCACTCCTCCTAGGAAAGCATCTTGTTAGTTTCGATACAGGATGAAAGTAATTCTGCATGTGACATTTCTATATGTCTAAATTAATCCAAATGGACGACAGCTAAAAGATGCCTTTGTTTTCTCTGCACTAGTTGTCAGAGGAGAAATTAGCATATTTTCTAAAAGGCTTTCTCTAGCAGTAACCTAAGCTCATCAAAATCAGAAAGACTGCACCGACCTAGTTCGGATTAAACACTATTTAATATAACATGATTATTTGCTTGATATGTATTTGTTCTGCTTTATTTGCATTATTCGTTTGATCTGTATTTTTTTATATGTGTCACCATTTGAAGTCAAATTCTTGATATTCATCTGCATATCCGATTTGATCTGCAGTTTTTGATTTGTATACTTATTCAAAGTTAATAACCTATATTTACAGTAATGTTTATATGGTACTTTGGTAAATATATTTGTGAATATTTCTCTCATGAGATCAAAAAGTTCAGTCCATCATTACTCTCCTCATAAATATTCAGTCTAACGTTAATAAAGAGTGAATTCGAAGAGAAAATGTTAGATTGGTGTTATCAATAATGATAAATCGATTATTCGAAATCATTGTTTTTGTTGGTGCTTTTTTACCAACACTTTTGTTAGTTTTCTTTTTAATATACATTTATGTTAGCTAAAGTTTCTCTCGGTATAGGATAGTTTCGATTAAGTAAAACCTATTTGATTTTATTCAATTTTGTCATTTTCATATTAAAACAATATCTTTGGTTAACAAATTCAAAATGCCATTTCAACCATCTGACGAAAACAACATTGTAAATCTTTTAAAAAAACTTTTAGGAAAGAAAAAATAAAATAAATATGCAATGTAAATTTAAAGGTGGGTTCAGGAGGTAGCGGCACAAACATGTATGTATGACATTATGAGAGAAAGAGTCTACGAAAGGACCATCCCACATTTTGGAGGATCAACCATCTTGGGATCTGCTTTCATATGGGTGCCTGGGTGGTGATGACTGACAGAGTCGAAGCTAACATATGTCAGCTACTTACGCTATACCTCGAGCCAACAGCACAATCTCTCCATCTGCAATAACACAATTTTTAATTTTTATATTTTTTCACTGTTTAATCCAATATAATAATTTATTAATTTTGTTTGATCTGTTAGATCTATATTTATTTTGCATTCTCATGTCATATTTATTTTATATATATTATAGATACATATAGACAAATTAAATTACTTTGTTTTAATTTTATTTTTTATTTTTATTTTCTAAATTTTTTAATATTTAAAATTTATATTATTATATTATTTAATATAACATGATTATTTGCATATCTCTGTTTGTTCTGCATTTTTGCTTGTTCTGTATTTGTTCTGCTTTATTTGTATTATTCGTTTGATCTGTATTTTTTTTATATATGTCACCATTCAAAGCCAAAGACTTGATATTCATCTGCATATCCAATTTGTTCTGCATTTTTTTTTGTATTTCTATTCAAAGTTAATAACTTATATTTATAGTAATGTTTATATGGTACTTTGGTAAATATATTTGTGAATACTTCTATCATGAAATCAAAAAGTCCAATTCATCATTACTCTCCACATAAATATTCAATATAACGTTACTAAAGGAGTTTAAAGAGAAAATATTAGATTTGTATTATCAATAATGATAAATCGATTATTCGATATCATTGATTTTGTCGGTGTTTTTTTTTTACCAACACTTGTGTTATCTTTAACATACATTTTTGATAGTTAAAATTCCTCTTGGTATAGGGTAATTTCGACTAAGTAACCTATTTGATTTTTTTCAATTTCATCATTTTCATATTGAAATAATATCTTTGGTTAACAAATTTAAAATTGCCATTTCAACCATTTGACAAAAACAACATTGGAAATAAAAAAAAAACATTTTTAGAAAAAAAATAAAAATAAAAAAATATATGATATAAATTTGAAGGTGGGTTATTCTATAAGAAGGTAGCACCACAAACACGTATGTACATTGTGAGAGAAAGAGTCTACGAACGGACTATCCCACATTTTTGAGGATCAAGCATCTTTTGATCTGCTTTCAGATGAGTGGTGATGACTGACAAAGTCGAAGTTAACATGCGTTGCTAGTTACACAGTTACACTATACCCTCAACCAACAACACAATCTCTCCCTCTGCAACGCTTTCATGAGCTAGAGGTATGTCCTCCTGGTTCTGAACGTCCAGAACGACCTCTCCGCATGTGTGGTTGGTGAAAATTTCATTTCCGCAAACTCAAAGCAGCGAGTGCACCATACTTGGAGTTGCATGGAATTATACTACATGAGAGCAACTTGCCGCAAGTTCACGTTGATTTTTTTTTTTTTGGTCAAACTTCACGTTCACGTTGATTTTAGTTGAACTTTTCAATAAGGAAATTAGATTTAGTTTTTTGTATTATTTAAATGATTTACTCTCTTTACTGTTCAAAAAAAACTTTTAAATATTGGTTTTTTATAAAAGTTGTTATTGTTGACAAAGAACGTGATTTCGATTCTACTAAAGAAAGCGAGGAAAAACATGACGATTGAAAGAGAACTGTAAAAACTTGGTACAAAAAGTTAAAAGAACAAATTAAACCGCATACTGACTATGCACCCTAACTGAAGCATCATAAAATGTCTTACCTCTAGTTTCACTCTAAAAGTGTGTTGTAACTTTCTTTTATTTCAAAGCAATGGGTCCTAAAATGGTATTACCAAACTATTAGAATGATGATAATAAACACGATTTCTAAGCAAGTTAGGAAATCGACCTAAACTTTAACTAAAACATTTTTTCTACAAACTTTCTTCTTCTTCATCGACAATCATGTCGGATATTATTACTAGTGCATCGTCCTGGTGCCCTCGTCAAATAATAAATGAAAGCAGCCTTCTATAACATCCAAATAGAAAACAGAATTTCTAATTCAATTTTAATCTCCGAATGATTTTAGCATAGTTTTAGATTGGATGCTTATAGAGTATAAGATAAATTAGAGAAGCTAAACGTAATCAATGATAACCTTCATAAATAAAAAGAGGTTACTACATAAACAATCTCACTTATAAGACAGAAACAACTGAAAAATGGTTTGGTTACTATTTTTCTAAAACTAAAAAGCCTAACCAAAACCGAGATTAAACACATCTACTTGTACCAAATACTCCAACCAAAATCCGGATAAACACCGGAAACTGGTAAAGCGCAAACCAAACCGGTTCAAGTAAACCTAAACAGCCGATTGAGAATAACATCTCTAGTTAGCAGAAGAGTTTCTTCTCACCTTCCATTGCTCGAACTTTGTGGAGCTTAACAGGAAGGAGCTTGCGTTTTTATGACCACCACCTCCGAATCTCTGAGAAACCTGTGTTGTGTCTTCTTCTTCAACACTCCTCAAACTTATTTTCAGTTTGCTCTCATCCTCAAGCTCGGGGACTCTGTAAACAACAGCACCAATACCTCGGAGTTTCATACGCTTACTCTTCTCCGCCAATTGATTCCCGAGCTCGCTTCTAAGCTCTGCGATCTCATCTGCGTTTACAGCTAAACACCGACCAAACTCTTCATCACCTCCAAGAACAATCTCGTACGACATTTCCAGCGCCTCGTGAATCAGTTTACGTTTCCTAGACAAACTATTTTTTCCTCTGCTGATCACACTGTCGTGGTCCAATGCCAGTAGCTGCTGAAACAGTGATGGGTTCTGATTGAAATCGTATTCGATCTTTAAGTCCAAGATCCCGCTGTTGAATGCTTTGCTCTCCGGTAGTTTCCACTTCCAGATATCAGCGTCTTCAATGTACTCGAAAACACGCCTCATCCTCTTGAAATCGTTCATCTCTCTGCAATCTCCTCGAGATTCTTCCATCAGCTTCTGAGTGAAATAGTCAAACGCAATAGTCGCACCGCTTCTCCCTATATCCAATACTTTGGTAACGTTCTTGCAAGTCGAAGAGACATCACCTAGGCTCTCAATAGCGGTTTTATGGTGATCGAGGATCACGACATTGTCAACTTTGGGAGAGACTTGGTGGACAAAACCAGGCGGTCCTGTGAAATCCAGAAGATAGAGATGGCTGATTTCTCGAAGAGGAAGTTGGCTGATTGTGACTGGAGAGTAGACTGTGTTGGGGAAGAAAAGCGAAGGGGTTGAATTCGCCGAGAAGTAGAGATGAGCGGCCAAGGCGGCGAAAACACCGTCATGGCAAGGATAATGGTAGAGAACAGCCACCTTCTTCTGCACCATCTTCCCTCCAAGATTCATTCCTGAAACCAAACAAATTTTTAAAGAACAAAAAATCAAAACTTTCATACACAAATCAAACTGTTACCAGAAATCGAAGCTTTAAGAGTAGGAATCTGATTTATCGATAAGACAGTTTAATGAATTTGGGGAAAAGGGTATAGATTATAGGAAAGTACCGAGCAGAGAAGAAGTAGCCGAGAAGAAGAAAGACCTCTCAGACAAAAAGCCTCTAAAGACTAAACTAAAACAACAACCTCTCAAATTAAGGTAGGGTTCTCAGAAGTGTAAATGACGAAAACGCCCTTACATACATACTGTACCTCTATTCCTGTTTCTGCTCTGTTTAGGCCTTAGATAGCATAACTTCATCGTCTAGTCCAATAAACGGATCAATAATGCAGCTTGCTTTAGTGGTTAATCCATTCTTCACTGGACTAGGACTAGTATATCAATTGAAGAAATTCAGATTTCTTCCAATTTCTAAATCAATAATGCAGAATAGACTCATCATCTTTGTCTGCAGATAACCCATCCTGCTCAACAACACCCACCCTACAAGGTTCAAAGGAACATTTACCTTGCACGACAAGTGACCTAGCATTGCGGCATCCTTGATAAAGGACCTTCTTCCTTCAATGTGTTCAACAACAGATCAATAGAATCCGATAGCACAGGTTCTTTGCACACAGTAGGCATTAGAACCGACCACAAATCACCATCAACAGCATTCCCTTTATTCAAGCTACTGATAACTCTACCGAGAATCTCCAACTTTCCACTCTCACACAGCCTCTGGAGAAATCTTTCTAGCCTGTCCTTGTGAGGCTTGTAGCCTTTGAAAAGCATTTCGTCCAAGATAACCACTGCTTCTTCGAATTGAAAACCTTCGCCAAGCCCGTCGAAAACTATCCTGTAAGATAAGATATCAGGGATGCAACCTCTTCTGGGCATATCTTCAAACAGGTAAGTTGCTTCTTTCAAGTTCTGGATTCTAAACAAGGCGCCAAGTATCATGTTGTAGCTTATAACATCTGGCTTCAAGCCCTTCTCAACCATTTCATCCAAAACTCGATAAGCTGATTCTAAATCATTCTCAACACAGAACCCGTTAATAAGCACATTGTAAGTCACCGTGTCCGGTTCGCATCCTTTTCCTCTCATTTCTTCCAAAATCATCGAGACCTCTTCTGATCTTCCAGCTTTTATAAGCGAGCTAGTCAACGTGGAGTAGATAGCTGAGTCTACTCTAACCTTTCCTTCGAAAGCCTCGTCCTTTAGCTTAAACGCCAAACTCAGTTCACCAATTTGACATAACGCTTTGATCAACGACGCGTAAATGTGAGCCGTGGGACAAACTCCATACACTTTCAACATATCGTGCTTCATCTTCAAGGCTTCCTTCACCTTCGAATCCTTGCACAGCCCATGAATCAGCGTCCCAAAGGTCACACCAGTGGGCTTCACCTTTTTCTTGACCATTTCGTCGAACAGCTTCAAGGCATCATCGAAACAGCCGCTCTGAGAATATCCATGGATCAGTATATTGTACGTACAAGCGTCTGGCTTACCGAACTTATTGATACTCGAAAGAATTTCTCTCGTTTTCTCGAGATCCCCACACTTTAAGAGCGCATTCAGCAGAGAGTTTACGGATTTCACGGTGGGTTTGCAACGGTACTGAGGCATTTCGTCGAACATGTGGAGCGCGCGACTGGGCAATCTTCCACGGCCGAAATAGCCGATCACATTGCAAAATAGTATCTCCGTAGGAACGATCCGAGTGTCAGTCTTGAGCTGGAGGAGGACCTGATCTAGCTCGTCAAACATCTTGCATCCACCAAGTTTCGTGATGATGATATCGTAGCAAAGGAGCGAGTATCTGAAGGGTTTTTTCGGGTTCGTTGATTCTGGATTAGGATTTCGGAAAAGCTTAATGGCGGCGGAGGGATCATTCTCACGGCGGAGGAGAGAGGCGAGTCTGAAGGAAGAGACAGATTTCACGGCGGACATCGATTTCGCTTATAGTCAAAAGTCTCTCTTTTTGGTCAACGGAAGTCAAAAGTACGGTTTTTAGCCAAAATAATTCCTTTAATAACAAAAAATAGAGAAATTAGGCTGTATTTGAAGATCAAAACTAGGCTGTATTTGAAGATAAAAATAAAATAGAGAAATTAGACTGTATAAACATGGTAAATTTACCATCGATTTCGCTTGGAAGTCAAAACTTCAACATATAATATAATTTGAATTTTGTTAAATAGATCTTAAAATAAATTAAAATGTATATGTGAGGTTTAAATAACAAATAGTAAATTTATTCTATAAAGAATGCAGTTTCATTATATTATACATATTGCTATCTTAAATAAAATAACATCTTCTTACTTTGAATAATGCTTTCAAGTTTATTCTACCGTATTTATATAGTATAGTTTGATTTTTAAAAATATTAGCTTTCTAAATTATAAATATTTATATACTATTTATTATCATAATATAGTATATTATTTTATTATATATGTCTATATAAACTATTTGTTTTATTAATTTGACAACATTATTCACAAGTTTAAGAATTAAGTATTTGTCTTGCTAAATCCATATCATTATTATTATACTAATGCAAAATTTAATCAAAATATTTATATGAAAATAGGATAAGAAATAAAATCAATTAAGGTAATAATATACAATAATGATAAAATAGCATAGACTTTTTTTACATCTCTCTTCTAAATACACAAATCAACTAAAAAGGTATTTTCATCCAAATAATTTTAAGGTTTTTGATTAATTTCTTTAATTAAAATTTTTTATGGTTATAAGTAGAGATGTCAACGGGCCAACCCGCATGGGCTTAGGTTCCATATGTTGTGTGTCTGTGCGGGTCGGCCTGCCGCAGGTTGCGGACAACTGATCCTAGGCCCAAGCCCGCCCCGCTTTTATTTAGCGGATTTTCGAGCTGGCCTGCGGGCTATATTAAACACATCAAACCAATCCGACATAGCACGATAACAACAATAAGTTTGGACTTTCTGTGACCAACGACGAGGCAAGAAGTGGTTTGGTTTGCAGGAGAAGAAACTGAAAGTATCCAACTTGACGGCATTGCTGGTGGATAAGAGATAGTGATAGACATTTTCAGTTACAAACAAAAAATATAAAGAAGGTGAAAGCTTTTAATTTGGAGGATCGTTGTATGGGGATCGATTATATATATATAAGGAACCCACGCACATCACGTTGCTGTGAAGAAGACAAAATGCATGGAAACAACGAAGACAGAGACATGAAGACAAAAATAATGCTCTGTATTCATTATACAACTTTAATTTACCTGTTTTGATTCTACAACTTGATGAAGATGCGATACCTGTCTTGGCCGTGATGATTATTTTTAATTTAATGTACATGTGTTACCTGTCTTGTCTGTGAGGAACTGAGGATTATTTTTCTCATGTGTAAGGACTGAAACAGAACGTGCAAAACAGAGATGAGAGATCGTATGAAGAGAAGACATTTAAATAAAGATAGGGGCCAACGGCAAAATGTTGATTGATAAACTCTGATAATATATACTAAGTAAACACAAGCACTTGTACCAACATTATATGCAGTATTTTTTTTTCATTAGTATCTTAAATCACTCTCTTTGCCGATATAGTTCTTTTTTGAGACCCGGAAGATATCTCAAATTCCTCTTAAATCACTCTCTTTGCCGACAAGACTCTGTTTTCTCACACACTCTATTTTCTTTCTTCTTCTTGTGGTTCTTGCTGTTGCTGTTTCTGTGCGATTTATTTGCCATCGATGTCACCAAATTGTTCCTTTCGGATGGGAGCAGCTGCAGTTATGCTCTCTAGCCAGTGTACCGATATATGGCGATCAAATGCGAGCTTATGCAGGTGAGAACAATAACAAAAGAAACAGACAATTTGACTCTTATTCTATTCTCTGTTTTGACTGATGATAAATGAAACAGCTAGTAAGAACACATAAAGGTGTGGATGACACAAGTTACGAGAGCATGGAGTTGAGGGAAGACAGAGAAGGGAAATAAGGACTCTAAGTATCTAAACATCAATCGGTGATACTGGAAAAATTATGGGTACTAACTTTTGCAAATCTCACCGGTTGTTCAAAGTAAGCTAGCATCGTACATGAAACAAACCACACTGATTGAAACAAAGAAAGTCTTAAACTTATTTTAAACAAGTAGCACATAACGTGAAATGCAACAAAAAGTCATACAAACTGAAATTTCAAAACCGAAATAATAAAAGCAGGAAGAACACACCAGTTTTGCATATCACTCATCTTCATCATCATAAATTGATTCAAAAGAAGGGAGATCTTCTTCACCATCATACTTTTCATCCTCTTCTACACAAGTGAATTTAAATTAAAAGATGTTAGTATACAGTTTTAGTTGTGGAATACTAGTACTTTAGAGGAATATTTCTTTACCATTGTCATATGTTGCAAAACCTCTTAACCAATTATGACTGCAGATCAAGGCTTGCACATTTTTTGGAAGAAGCCTGCTTCTATACTTGTTCAAGACCCGAGATCCAATGCTGAAAGATGATTCTGAAGCTACTGTTGTGATAGGAATGCTGAGTAAATCGCAAGCTATTGAAGCCAATTGACCATATTTTTGCGAGTTGTCTTTCCAGTAATCCAAGATGTCCATACTCGCATGACTTCTCATATCTAAAGGCGGTTCTTCAAGATACATCTCCAGCTTAGATTTTCCACTAACAACAACATGTGTCTTGCGAAAGGCCAGGAAATCCTGAAATCAAAGAATGAAACATTTTAATTTTGCAACAATATATACTAGCAACTTCTATTCAACTAAATCTACATCTATATTATATACTTACATCATAGTTGTTGAAGCTGCCTTTAGATTCTCCATCACCATTGTTTCGTTCTTCACTTTCTTGAGACAATGTAGATGGTGAGATCGACTTCGGATCATATGATTCAAAAAGCATACTCAGCTTAGCACGCAAGTTCTCCATCTTTCTTTGAAATGATACTTTGTCAAGCTGATTAAAACAGAACTCTACAAGAGTAAGCTTCAGTCGTGGATCGAAGATGCTTGCCATTGCAAAAATATCATGCACTTCTTCCCAGTATTTGTCAAACTTCTCCTGCATGGGTATGACCATTTCCCTCACAACTTGATCTCTGCTTCTTTCATTCACTTTCAGTCAATTTTGGATCTTCCAAACTTGCATAAAATAAAGATTTGAAGTTGGATATGTCGAACCTGACATAAGATGTGTGATCTCATCAAATGGCTTCAAAAATTCACACAAATCCTTTAGGCGATTCCATTCATCTTCTGACGGGTTAACCCTGAAGTTTCTCCCATCCACCTGCTGAAGATAACTAAAAACATCTCGATGATCCATGGCCCTAGCAAGCATCTTATATGTTGAATTCCATCTTGTTGTAACATCCAACAACAAACCTGCATTGGATTTAATCTTCACAGTTTCAACACATTTAGCAAACATTATCTCACGAGATTCAGAGGCTGTCACATACTTGATACTCTCTCTGATTTTATGCAAAGAATCTCCAATGACTTTGAGACCATCTTGAACAATCAGATTCAAGATATGAGCTGAACATCTAACATGAAAGAAATCCCCATTGCACAGCAAGTCATTACGTATCAGCAGTTGCGATTTCAGAATGCTATTCATTGAGTCATTGCTAGTAGCATTGTCTAGTGTAATCGAAAACACCTTTTTGTGGACTCCCCAATCTTCCCATTGCTGAAGAAGCTGCATCGCACAGTTCATACCTGTATGTGGAGGCGCAAAAGCACAGAATGAGAGAATCTTGTTCTTTAGTTTCCAGTTCCGATTGATATAGTGTGCTGTCAAACACATGTAGCCCTCATGTGTGATTGCCGACCACAGATCAGACGTGAAGCTAATCCGACCAGGAAGATTAGCTAGCTCTCTCTTTAAGTTAGCTGTCTCACTTTCATAGAATTTGTAAACATTTTTTGCTGCTGTGTTGCGACTGATAAACTTCACATCAGCATTCAAGTACTTCCAAACTTCTCTAACTCTTTCGTACTCAACATAAGCAAAAGGCAGATCATGCTGAATTATGCTCTTAGCTACCATAACACGAAAAACAGAGTGTTCAATCTTTCTTGCTTGTAATTTTGCCTCTGCATTAACCATCATTTTACCAACATCGCCATTCCTAGGTTTGAGTTTGCATACACTAATATGACGAATTAAATGATTTGTACCAGTCTTGTGGGAGTCATATGCATAGTCAATCTTGCAATGCTTGCACTGAGCTCTTTCTGTCCCATCTTTTTTAGTAATCACTGTAAAATCATTCCAAGCTTTGGAGTACTGCTTCTTAGGCTTTTTTGCTTTCTGATCTGATGCCTTTTCTCCGTTTTCTTCATCTGATTCATCTTCAATCTCAACAGATTTTCCTCTTTTCTTAGTAGCTTGGCTTGATTCAGCCACTTTCTTCTTACTCTTAGCCTGAGATGCTTGTCCTTTTCCAACATCAGAAGCAGCCTGAAACAGATTTCTCTTATTCATACTTTGAGTTTGAGATGCTCTAACCCCAAAGTGATTTCTATGTATTGGTTCTGGGGTGATTTCCTCTACTTCATCATCTTCATCATCTTCAACCTCAATGAGTCTTCTTTTGCGACCATTCAACAGAGGTGATGGTGATCTTGATCTATCACTGTTTAGTTCATCTTTGGCATTTAGAGCATTTATAAGTTCCTGAGTTGTATAGTCAACTGATCCCAGGGTAGAGTTCTGTCAATAAGTTGAAATAATAATCAGAAACCACAATGTAAGTCTTACAATAAGACAACGAGTGAACAAGGTTCTCTGTTTTATAAACGAGTCAAATACTATTATTGCATAATGGAAATCATGTGATCATGTCGAAGAGATAATCAAAATCATTAACAGAGAGAATAAATCATGTTTTTTTTACTAATCAAGCATCACAACTATAAGAGTTAAACGACATGAAGGATATTATGAGACTTACC